CTCAGCACCAGCTGTCACGGACAGGGGGAGGGGTCTAAGCACCACCTGTCACAGACAGGGGGCGGGGTCTCAGCACCACCTGTCACAGACAGGGGGAGGGGTCTAAGCACCACCTGTCACAGACAGGGGGCGGGGTCTCAGCACCACCTGTCACAGACAGGAGGCAGGGTCTCAGCACCACCTGTCACAGACAGAGGCGGGGTCTCAGCACCACCTGTCACAGACAGGAGGTGGGGTCTCAGCACCACCTGTCACAGACAGAGGCGGGGTCTCAGCACCACCTGTCACAGACAGGAGGCGGGGTCTCAGCACCACCTGTCACAGACAGGGGGCAGGGTCTCAGCACCACCTGACACAGACAGGGGGCGGGGTCTCAGCACCACCTGTCACAGACAGGGGGCAGGGTCTCAGCACCACCTGACACAGACAGGGGGCGGGGTCTCAGCACCACCTGACACAGACAGGAGGCGGGGTCTCAGCAGGACGAGAGGCCTTCCTGACATGCTGCCTACCTTGGCAATCATCTGCAGGATCTGGTTGTGGGTCTGAGGTGGTCTGAGGACCCCCAGCCCCTCCAGACGATGAAGACTCCGCAGGATCTTCCTCTTCTTCTCCAACAGACTCAGGTTGCTATTGGCAACCAGCGACTGGTTCCTCTTCAGCTTCTCAGGTGTTTGAGCGTCCTGTTGAGCTCGACGCATCATCAGCCAGTCATGATGCACTTCCTGTTGGAAGAGTGCAGGTAACAGTTCATGATAAACATCACATCAGAAACATCATCAGAAACATCTGTCTGCCAGGTGTGCTCATTACCTGGCCAGGTGAGGTCTTTGTTCTCAGGATGTCACTGAGAGAGTCACCTGACTGAGTCCTGATCACATCAACGATCAGCTGTTTGGTGCTGAAAACCAACAGAAAAACACCTGATCAGCTGGAGCTAACGAGCTAACAGGCTAATCTACCTGAGCAGGTGATAGCAGCTTACCTGAGCAGGTGATAGCAGCTTACCTGAGCAGCAGTCCTCTGGCATCAGGTTGATCCGACTCCTCGAAAATATCAAATCTGTTAGAGAGAGTCAGAGAAACCTCCAGGTGTTCAGATCCTGCATCTGCCCAGGACTCACCTGAGAAACACAGGTGACAAAGGTTTACACACACCTGAGTACTGATACCAACACTTCAGTTCTTATATACCAACACTTCAGTACTTATATACCAACACTTCAGTACTTATATACCAACACTTCAGTACTTATATACCAACACTTCAGTACTTATATACCAACACTTCAGTACTTACTGTATATATCAACACTTCAGTACTTATATACCAACACTTCAGTACTTCTATACCAACACTTCAGTACTTACTGTATATACCAACACTTCAGTACTTACTGTATATATCAACACTTCAGTACTTACTGTATATATCAACACTTCAGTACTTATATACCAACACTTCAGTACTTATATACCAACACTTCAGTACTTACTGTATATA